TAATTTATTAATAAAACAATAAAAATAAATAAAAATTGATTTATGTATAAATTAACTATTACACTGTTATTAATTAGGTTTTTTATTTGAATCAATTAATTATAATTTTGATTATGATATATTAATTAATGAGCTAAAAAATTAGTCCAACCAATAAACAATTTATTACACATAATTCACAGTAATTAATTATAATTCTTGAAAATAATTTTTTTAATAAGTTATCTAATCCTAATTAACCAATTCATGGTACTTAACATATTATTAACTAATTAATTAATAATTTTAATTAAAGAAGTAATTTATTTATTTAATAACTATTTTATCAAATTAAATATATATTTAAAACAAATTATTGTTGATTTATTATTATCAATTAATTAAATAAGTTTATTAAAAATAAATTTAGAAATGGAAAAGAGAGACGAGATGGATTTACAGATGACTATTAAAAAAAACTTAGTTTTAAATATTCCTATCCAATTCAAATAAATTTATAATCTTAACTAATCGTATAGATTCACGTATAAAAATAAAGGTAAAATTATGATTTTTTCTCAATTAGATGTATTTGATATATTAAGAAATCAGAAAAAAATACTCATAATCTAATAATTAATCATAAAATCTAATGATAATCATTTAGATAGTTGAGATATGAACGAACAAAGTTTCAATATCATAGAGGAGGGGTGGAAGAAGCACAGGAGTTTCGAGATTTTGAATGAATCTATTGTTGCCTTTCATTATACATTGGAAATGAGTGAACAATGTTCAAACAACAACTTTTAATGTTTGGAATTGAGGAGCAGTTGTTATGTTTGTTATGTTTGAGCTTGGATGAATTTTCTTCAGCAAAGTCGCAGATCGTCCTCTCACGAATCTTGGATCTAGAGCTTCAGTTCTTCCCGCGAACCTGGGTCTTGGATCTAGAAAACCTCAATTAGCCACCAAGCAGCTTAACATCCGCTTTCACCCCCTCTCTTATCGCATGCTCTCCATCTAATTGATATGATAAGGAACCACTACAAGGGGAATAAGATTCGGATTACCTTGTTGATCGAATATCTCAAGACAAGAACATTGTTTGAGATTAGAATCACTCCACAAGCAAGATCGATCATGTCTAGCTTGAATGATTCTTGTTGATCAAATATCTCAACCCAAGAACATTTGTTTGAGATTCGAATCACTCCACAAGCAAGATTGATCATGTCGAGCTTGAATGATTCTACATGCAACCTAAACTACATAGAATTGCAAACAAACTTAGTCATTGGCTAAAGAAAGCACAAATGCTTCTTTTACTATATATTTTCCAAGTCTCCCTACAAATACAACATACATGTCTTTATATAGTCTCAAAATGAAACTATTAAAGGCATTCCAAGAGTTGTAACATTCATACTTAGTTTAGTGGATATAATTAACCGTTATGTAATTGTAACCTAAAGTAAATAAAAAGTCTTAAAATACATTAATGAAATACAATAACTATAAATTACTCTAAAATGTAGTCCACCCAAAATTTATAACATGAAACTTCATTCTTCTTCAATGTGCCATGAATTGAAATATCTTTGGATAATTTCAACAATATTTTCTTCATATGTTTTACACGGAAGCATATTGTATGATTGATGTCTCTAGGTTCATATCAATAATACTAAACGTTTGTTTGTGATAATTTATTTGTACGAGTTAGGAGGTTCACTCAAAAGTAGAAGTCTTAGTCCCTTTAACAATGAAGAGACAAGACTTTGGCTCTCTCTCTCGTAAGACTTCTCTCCATAAACTATTACTAGTCACTTAAAAAAGTTCTCTAACATTAAAATGATAAAATTTTAAAATAAGTATAAAAAAATTAATCCGAACAACTAGTATCCATCCCTATCATCCATCAACCACTTATCAAATCTAGTTCAATTGACCAACTAATTTATATATTAATTATTATTTATCAAAAACAAAATTTATATTATTTATTATTCAAAATAAAATTTGATTTTTTTTAATTTATATCATCTATTACCCCAACACTATCTGATTTTCTGATTTTCTTACTAAAATTACTATTTGCATTCATTATTATTTATTTACCCAAAACAATATAAGATTCTTTTACTAAAAACATACTTTTATTATTTTTTTTACTCAAAATAATATATGTTTTTTTATACATTCAATTAATATTTAATTATTTTGCTTCAAATTTTTGGGTCATATAAACCGATACTAAACCACACAACTCTTCCGATTGAGATATTTGTTTTAAAAAATGATATATTTATACATGTTGAGTTGATTGAGATTATAAATAAATAAAAAATCACAATTATAATGGATAGAATCTAAAACTTGAGTAGTTAACCTTATTTTTTTTTTATAAAATATAAAATTGATAGGATAGAATATTCCATAAGTTAAATTTAAAAAGAAATACATTATAATTATATAGAAGGAGAGTTTCTAATTATTTTTCTAATTATTTTTATAAATTTTAATGATTTAATATGAAATTATATAAATTTATGATGAATTACAATCAAATACAAATATTTTAAATAGAATTTAAAACGGATTTTTTTTGTGTTTTATTATAATAATTAATGTAGGTAAATAGGTAGCTGATATTTATTTGAAGTGGTATAAGTAAATTCTATTGAATTTATTTATAATTTTTTAATTTGAATTTGCTATTTCAATTATATTTCTATCTATATTTATATATATTTAGTTTTTTCAATAATATTTTACTATTTTTAGTTGCTTTTCTATTATTATTTTTAATAAACATAAATTTGTTTTTGAAGTATATATATATATATATAAATTAATATCTATCACATTATTTTGTTCCGTTTCTTTTATAATATTTTATTATTTTTAGTTTTTTTTATATTATTTTATTTAACTTTTTTTTAATGTATCTTAAATTTCTTTTTTAGTATATAAAAAAAATTAATATGGGTGAAGAGTTAATTACATAGATGGAGTCAATTTAATTCATTTTAATTTTTTTAATATATTTTAAATTTCTTTTTAAGTATATATATAAAAAAATTAATATTGTAAATGAAAGTGGTAGAGTCAATTTAATACACTTACAATAATTTTTTAAATATTTTATTAATTTTAATTTTTTATATATTATTTTATAGTTAATATGGTAGTACATTTTTTCTTTTTATTATTTTGTTTAGTTTGTTTTATAATATTTTATTATTTTTAGTTTCTTTTATATTATTATTTTTATTATATTTTAACTTTCTCTTGAGTATATATAAAAACAAATTAATATTGTAGTACTGTTTAGTTTATTTTTATAATATTTTATATTATTTTATAGCTAATATTGTAATACATTTTTTTTTCTTTTTATTATTTTTTTTGTTATTTAAAAAAAAATTAATATATTTTAAATTTCTTTTCTAGTGTATAAAAAAAATGGTAGGTAAGTAGAGCAAATTTAATACCTATTCTTAACCTGTTTAAAGGGAAAGGTAGTTTACAAAACCGTAGGATAATTTAATATGAGAATGGGAAGTGAAATTTAATAAATAACAGAAAAAATGAGGGAAATTGGAATTTATGGAAAAAATGGAATTGAAATTTAACATAGGGGATTATTTGAAAGTTGAGGAAAAGAAAGAAACAGCTTATTAAGTCTTAGCTCTATCCTATCTTATCCTCTTTTTGTCCTATCAGGTTTTTGCCCTATCCGGTTTTTGCAATTTCTTCTGTATAATAGTTAATTACCCTCATACCTTATCAGGAGTTTGTCTAAAAGTAATAAATATTATAAAATAAACTAAATAAAATAATAAAAGAGTACTATGATATTAACTATAAAATAATATAAAAAATTATAAAAAATAAAATATATTAAAAGAAATTAGTGTGAGTATATTAAATTGACTCCACCTAAATTAACTATTCACCTACTTATATATTGATTTTTTATGCAGTTAAAAAGAAATTTAAAATATATTTAAAAAATTAAATAAAATAATATAAAAAACTAAAAAAAATAAAATTATAAAAATAATGATAATAATATATATATATATATATATTATATACTGAATTTGAACTTGAGCAGAGATACATATATAGAGTATTTAAATTTTATAATAAAAACACCTACCTATCTATCCACATTAATTATTATAATAAAAACATACAAAATTTTTATTTAAAATCTTTCCTATGATTATATTTGATTGATGATAATTTAAGACTAATTCATCATCAATTTATATCAACTCATTAATTCATTAAAATTTATTAAAAAATAAAAGAATTTAATTCAGAAACTCTTCTCTTATATAATCTATTTCTTTTTAAATTTGTTAACTTACAAAATATTATATATATAAATTTATCAAACAATATTTATATTTGACTAACTAAATTTTAAAAAAAAATTGATTTCAGTCTTTTATAGGACGCACACGGGTATATAAATTTTATATTTTATAAAAAATAATAACGTCAATTTCTCAATTTTAGAGATGAGTATTGGTATATAAATTATTAAGATTGTGATTTTTTTTTTTACCAATAATTTCATTTCAATTATGTAGTACCATTTTTTTTAAAATAAATATCTCTAACTTAATTTTTTTTTTTAATTAGAGGGATTAATTGGGCTGCCTCCATGCCCCGAGACCTATTAGTTGGGTTCTACCTTTATTTGTCATCCGATTTAACTTATTTTTGCACCATAGATAGATTGTTGTTTTAGTATTATGTTATCCAACCCTTAATTTGGTATTCACGCTAGCTATTGTGTGTTAAGTAGCTTCAAGCTATAAAGTAATTTGGTATTCATGCTATTCATTTTGTGACATCTATGATTAATTATTTGATATTTGTAAGCTTATAATCATTCTTAAAGCAACAAATTTAAACAACCCTATTTTTAAAACAAACTTAAATCGTTTGTTCATAAAATAATAAACTTAAAATTCACCATTCGTAGAACAACAAATTTAAAATCACATGTTCGTACAACAAACTGAAAATCACGTATTGGTAGATCAAACATAAAATGACTTGTTCTTAACTTAAAATAACAGTTATGTGTGTGAACAAACTTAAAATCTCTGTTCTTAAAACAAATGTAAAATTTCTGGTTGACAATATTATTTCCTCTTCAAACTTAAAATTTCTTGTTTTTATACCGCTATTGTCTTGATGCTTAACTGGTAAAGCCCCTTCAATCACCCTTTCTTGCCTCATAGACCTCCTTTGCTCTTGTGCGTGTAAAACATTCAAGAGTTCTGTAAAAGAAATCTTTGACAAGTCTTGGGTGTTCTCCAAAGTAGTAATGGTGGCTTCAAACTTCTCTGGATTAGTGACTAGCAACTTTTCAACGATCCTGGAATCATTTAATACATAACCAAGCAATCTCACCTTGTTGGCAATGCTGAGAAGTCTGTCAAAGTACTCTTTCACCGACTCCGACTCCATCTTCTGCAACTCGAAATTCCTAATCAAATTCAGAACTTTCATTCCACGAATTCTCTCATCTCCTTCATATTCAGCCTTGAGATAATCCCAGATAAAACAGTCTGTTGGACCAATCAACCTAAACATAAGTTTAGTTCATAAATTTCATGGCTAAATCAAGCATATATCGTGCTCACAATCATTCCACCCTAGTCCTTGTTGACATACTCAATGTGTGTTCGAGGTTATAAAATAAAAATGTAAATGACGTCGCCCAAACTTGAACTAGAGACCTTCGGTGTGTTAGACTAACATGATAATCAACTACACCACAACACTGAAGTTCAGCCAAACTATAGAATTAAGCACAAACTTCCTAGAGCCTAGAGAAAAGCCCGTGGAAACCTACCAGGAACTGGATACAATGAGAGCCTACTACTTACCGAGTACTTTTTTACTCACCGCATTTTAGATTTCTTTTTAAGGTCTTCGCTAACTGTGGCTCGAGGCGGTGGCCGGGGGGGGGG